TTTTTTTTTTTTCAAATCAGAGCCCGCGTTACCGACACTAGAGGAAGAGTTGCCAACATCACTTTTGTTTACATCTTGGTAGCTCTGCGTTTAATTTCACCTAGTTGCTCCTTTCTCACGTGTTTTTGTTCAGTTTTTGTTTGTCGGAACGCGAGTATTCACAAAAAATGCACGGGTCCGACAATTTATTTTTCGCACACTAATACGTTTCTAGGTTCCGTCTCAAACCTATCAATAAATTCCTCTCAAGACTGTTGATACGTTCGTCTTGCGCCAATATTAAATATCTCGTCGGTCTTGCTGGCGGGAAAAATCTAACCTCAACTTAAGCAACGAGTAATTACGAGGTTTTAGAGATTTTAGGATTACAAGGTAATGTAATATTTGCTACATGTAGATTGGGTTAGATTAGAATTTTTATACTCTTCTCCCTCTTTCATTTTTATTGTACTAATTTTTACGTTGATTTTGTTTGTGTATGATAAAGTGTATGATAAAGTGTGCGTGTGTATGTGTGTGTGTAAAACTTTTATAAACGTATATTCAATCTATTTATACTGATTGTTCTTCGTGAGATTTATAAGACAAATGACTTCTTGTCGATCAGATGGCTGAACGACTGGAAGATCTGAATCTGCCCAATGCGGTTGTAACCAGGATCATCAAAGAAGCCCTGCCGGACGGAGTGACAGTCGGAAAAGACGCCAGAATAGCGGTGGCGAAAGCCGCCTCTATCTTTATACTCTATCTCACATCGACATCTAATTCGGTGGCAAAGAAAGCCAATCGCAAGACCATCACCGGGCCGGATGTGATTCAGGCGATGGCAGACATCGAATTCGATCAGTTCGTTGATCCGCTGCAAGAATCTCTGGAGAACTTCAGAAAGGTTCAGAAAGAGAAAAAAGACGCGACAACCAAGAAAAAACAACAAAAGAAGGACGAAGATGACGTAGTGATCATCGAAGAGGAAACGGGAAGAGAAAATGCGGATAATTAAATATAATTTTTTTTTTTTATAGATCTTTCTCTCTGTAAATAAGAACACACATACATATAGTTTATTTTAAATATAGGATATTGTTGTGTATAGTTACAAAAACAAAAAACAGAGTATTTCCTGGAGAAATGCACCGACAGATTAGAAACAAAACAGGTAGATATTTATTTCATCGTAATACTTAGCTTTAATACACAATATTTAATTTGTATATAATACATGTATATCTGCATGTATGTTTTTTCGGTATACTTTTATTATCATGTGTTTTGGAAGATATGTTTTTGAAACGTTTGCAATATAATGGCAAACAAATTTGTGCATCTGGTTAAAAAACTATATAGGATTTTTAATCTGCAACCAAAATTTATTCAACCGAGATTTATAATTGTGTCTTCTCGCGATCAAGTAGCGACGCGCTACTGTTTTCTCCTTCTCACTTAACTCTGAAAATTCCAGTTTTTTTTTTATTTTTTTTTTATTTTTTTTAATCAATTCGACGGTGACTTCTCACAATTTGCGTTTATCAAAGAGTTGGTGTATAAATTATTTTGTATAAAAGCTTACGTGACGGTTTTTCCTTTTTATAATTCTCTTATTCAAAATGTCGTAATCTGTGCGGATATGTTTGCGAGAGTGATTAATATAAGGAGTGCAGGTATTTGTAGTGCGTGTCGAATGCGTCCGAATTGTCGGACTTTTATACACATAAACTCGTTCTCTTTTACGCTTGATGGTTTCTTCATGTTGGAAGTTTTTGTTAAGTGTACGTTAAGTTAAACTTTATAAAATCAAATATCTTCTTTCTTTCTCCTTCTCTTTCTCATACAAATTGTACATGCGATTTATAGAGTTGTTTACACAAGTTTGACCTACTAAAATCGTGATCGTGATCGTGATCGTGATCGTGATCTTTCTTGACATTCCAATTCACTGTTCACATTTTTTAAAATCACTGTATACAGTAACGTATATATATATCGTATATATATATCGTGACAAAGATTTTTAGCACTGTAGTAATAAAGCGTATAAATTCACTAGCAAGACTGTGTCTCTTAATACATCAGATTGATTAAAAAGTTTGGTGTTTTTCTTACTTCAGCCATCATCGCATCGACGAGAGTAAAGGAGTGAAATTTTTAATTAAGCTAATATTTTTCTGTCTGGATCGATGGACAAAATTTGTTTCGCTAGCATTTCTATCGCTTAAATAACACCAGTCGACCCGCGTTCGCGAGATGCGTTGTTTCAACTACTCTCGCGAAGGGAACGACATTGTTGAACTGCTCGAAAAATCTGGCAGTTTAAGACCCAAGTGGCCGAGAAACAAGTCACTCACGAAATTGATCAAATGTCAGTGCGGTGCGTACTTTTGTAAGGAGAAAAGATAGGAAAAAAAATAACAAAAACAGGATTTGTACAGCTCGTGTATATATTGTCGATAAAAATACAAACAAGATTCTGTGAAATATTCTCAGACGCTCTTTAAAACACTCGAAGTTTCTTCGAGAAATATGTTTCTTTCGAGATTTACGCGTTTGTATTTTTATGCCAAATATGTGAAATGTTAAATAATATATATATATATTTTTTTTTTCAATGCAATTGAGCAATTTTGTGAGTTACTGTGTGTGTGTATGTGTGTGTACTAAATGTACTTCCTTTACGTGGAATCGATGATTCGCGAGCTTTACACGCTTCCGTCACACAGTGGCAAATATAACATGTCTTGTGTGCGTTATACCTTCCACCATTTATGGAAACAGTTCGTTCGCGCGCGTGTATGTGTGATCACAGACGAAGAGGAATAGATTCGGTTTTTTTTTTTAATGAGCATGAAGTCGGAAAATTAAATTCGCAAAAAGCCCGAATTAAAACGTGGAATTTCAAGGCTGCAGAACTCGCACTTTGCGATCTATCGAACTCCTGCACATCGGACACCCTGTGGTAACTTTATCGGCACAAGAGGAACAACAACAGAGGTGTCCGCAGGGTAGAAAAATTACCTCACACTGCAAACAGAGATTCACAAAGTAACGACGGGAATTCGTGAAGCATCTCGCATGGGAGGAAAGAACGAAAACAAAAATCGCACACTTACCTGCAAGTCGAGGCAGATTACGCACTCGATCATGTCGATACTTTGAATACAGCTAAAGTCTTGATTGCTAGTCGACGCCTCGTCGGGGGGCGCGGAAGGCATTATGGGCGATCTGGCTTCGCTCATTTTCACTTCTGCCAGATAGTTTTCAACCGCCAATTTGATCGCGGCACGATCTTTCTCGCAATTTATGCCAATCTACAGAATGAAAGACAAGATCTGCTGTGAACATCGCGGTCTTTGTGTGTACAATTGCTCTTGAGACAATAGCAATTACAGTTACGTACATCTTGTAATTGTTCGTCGGTGACATCCGGCAACAAAGATGGCAACGTGACCAGAAACGGGAGACAATGCAGAGCACCCGCTATCGCCACGTGTCGAACCAGCGTAGGTTCCAGCATCTCCAGCATTCCCTGCGGTCGTGCTTCCATAAGAGACTGATACTGCATCAGCCAGAACAAACTGCCTCGTCGTACGTTCTGTTTCGCACAAAATTAACAAATTACGCAAATTAAAAAATACATCAATAAAAGAAGCTGAGAAAAGATTAAATTTCTCTCTTAAAAAAAAAAGACATAATTACAGAGACACATCGCTGTTGCTCTATCGTGTTGATTGTCTCCAACAATTGGTCTCTTCTGGTCTTCTGTTGTTCTAACAGGTCGATCAGAATCGCTGTTAGAGTCACGCGTCTATCAGCAATCTCATTCTTAAAAAAGTACATTTTTTTCTTGTCACTTCGATTTTCGTTGAATACTTGATTGTATCTGTGCACTTACGAGCTGTTGATTGATCTCAAGTTTTCTCCTCTCGAGCTCGATATTCGTGAGCGCGGCCAATTGCAACTGCACCAGGTTTACTTGGTGAATGATGCTCCAAGAACGCGCGTCGCTGCGTTCGAGCAACGCGGCGACCGCCGCTTTCTGTAGAACCTCGTCCTGTCGCAGTCTGTCGACGAGATCCTGCCTGTTCTTCTCCTGGTCGTGCACTACTTGCGCCAAATGATCGTTGTTCCTCACCTCTCTGAAAACAATATCATCCATCTTGTTCAATTAAAAATATTGAAATAAATTCCTCGAAAGGAAACGAGTTTGTAAATTGTTTACTGACAGTGTGAGCAGCGATTGCGCGGCGTAATATCTGTATTTGGTGTGCTCCTCTAATTTTCTCGCTTTGCACATTTCCTCCTCCAGCAACTTCTCCATCGCAACTGCGAGAAAAATTTGTATTCGTTTGTAAAATAAAAACAAGTCTTAAATTTCGTACTCGCAATGCTCGGTACTCACGAAGAGTGTCTTTTGTACGCAGCAGAAACTGTTCCGAGTGGCAAGAACTGAGCAGTCGCATTTCTTCCTGCTTCTCTCGTTTCACCAGTTCGGCCTGGCTCTGTCTTTCTTCCTCGCTGTTTCTCAGAAACTCTTTAATCACATTATCAGCCTCTTTCTCGGCTAAGAAGATATAACTACGTATTATTATATGCATGCAGTTTTGTTGTTATATATAATATAAACACATGTATACATGTAATAGCTGTTTTTATCTCTAGTACTTAGTAAATAAAAAGTTTATAAAATTTCTTTATTCATCTAAAAAGGAGATACCGTTATAAATGTACGAGAGCAAACGCTCTCTGTTGATATCTCTCTCCTGCTGTGCCTTTTCAACTTCTTGCTCCAACTGTATCTGCTGTAACGCTAGATCTTCCAAAAGCTGTGAAAGATAAGATCTTCGATTGTCAATAATTGAAAGTTAAGAAACTTGAGTTTAGCGATAAACGCGAGTTCAATCACCTTCTTTCTGTGAGCTTTGAGCATAGTTTGAACTTCTATCTCGTACTCTTGTTGCTGTTTTATGGTTTTCTCCACCTCCAACAAGGCGTTTTGTCGATGTTCCTGGATAGAAGAACCATTTGCTATCATATTCCATAGCGTGTGACAAATCAATTATTGATAAAAAAAAAAAAAGATGTTTATTTCCGTAAAATATCTTTTGATAATATATTAATAATGTAATGAAACACAAACGCTAATAGATAACTATAATTTTAGAGCAATGCAACTAAAATGTAATTAACATAAGTTCCATGCAAAATCATTTCTTGTTCAGTTGTTTAGCGATCGAGATATATAAATCTCTCATTAGTTTGATTCTCTTTCATTAATTACTACTATACTGAAAGCTGTTCTTAACTTATTAGTAATAACAAAATAATTAACATGACACACAAGCATACGAAACTCAAAGGAGCGTCCAACATGCCTTCATTTTGTCTAGCTTCTGTAACGCTGCCTAAAAGAGAGAAAAAAAACAGAAATGTTGAATATGCAAAAAAAAGCACATTTATGCATGAAATTATTCTCGAAATCACACGAGTGTGCGGATTCAATTATAAAATGTTTAATGTATTAAAAAGCATTCAAAAAAAAAAAAAAAAAAAAAAAAAAAAAAAAAAAAATAAAAAAAAGATAGCAGCTTGCGACCAACAAAATTCTTATATCATACTTTACACACAAAATAGTCGAACAATGAAAAAATATCTTCCTGGAATAAACATCAATATAAATTATGTAAATAAATTTTTTTATACTTCAGACACATTTAATTTTTACGAATACATCTAGTCACCAGATAAATAAAGCTAAATAAAACGCGTCTATAAATTACATTAAAGTACCTGCACATCATTACTCTTATTGTGATACATCGACTGCATATCTTCCGAGCTAATTTCTCTGGAAATGTCGGTCTCCGACAGGGAACTCTCCGGCGAGTACTCGATACCGCTCTCGTTCGCAAGAAACGCAATAATGACTATCGCGCCGCCGTCCAGAATGTCCCGAGGCGGATAAAGCAGATTCAATCCGTCGATATTCAGATTCGTTAATTGCTGAGCGTAACCCAGAGACTTGGGCAGCTTCTGCAGCGACTTGTTGTAGCTGATGTCGAAAACATTGAGCTGCTGCAGCTGTCCGATGTTTTCGGGCAGCTGTTTCAAGTTGTTTCTCGAGACATTCAGAATTGTCAACTTGTTCAAGTGAATTATCTCATTGGGCAGTTTGCGGATGCTGTTGTTTTGCAAATAGAGTTCCTGTAAAAAAAAAAAAAAAGGAAGAGAACAAATCCGACAATTTCTAGAATTCTGTGAGAAGTTTAGGAAAAAAAAAGGAGTCAACTTTCTGAGCTGGTGGTCTGGCGCAAACATACCTTAAGGGAAGAGAGATACATAATGTCGGAAGGTAACGTGGTAAACTCGTTTTCGTGAATGTCTAGGACAGTCAGAAGTGACAAGTCACTTAAGGCACCTCCGCCAGAGAGCGAGCTCAGCTTGTTGTCGTACATCAGCAGGCTCTTCTTTCGAAACACTTTGCAGAGCGAATAAATACCCGATGGCACATGCTTCAAGGCACACTCCGACACGTCGAATACCGGTTCAGGATTCTCCCGCGCCTGTAAAACACGCAAAACAAATGACTGACAGACAACGACGAACATTAAATATTCAAAAAAAAAAACCCTGCGGCGTTTTAATTACACGCCAATTACTCGTCACCGAGGAAAATAAATCGAAACCTAACCTCAGGTCGCTCGACCTCTTAAACGTCTATCGTCTATCGAATATCTAAATTGTTCTTCGTTACACATACAAGTAATTTTCTTTATCGTCACAATTCAGCGTCAATTGAATATTAAGATAATTATAGAAAATCAATTTTTTTTTTTTTTTTTTTTTTTTTCATCAACCGTTACATGCACTTTCAATCCGCGAAACAAACGCACCAAATACAATTTGTATTCGAGCCGCGCCTTGTAATCGGCATTCTTGTTCCCGTGCTTCCTTGACATCCTTGCACGCGTCCGTTGTCATGACAGGAGAGCAGCGGTTGAGAATCTCATTTCGCTTCCAGCTGACACGTGATAAAACGACGTTCGATAAGGCCTGGTCATATATGTAATACTCCTATATGGCTACCCCCATGATGTAAATATACCAGGTGTATCATTCCCGTGAATGCGCAGTGGTTCAAGTAATGGCCGCTCTCCGAACCAATCAAAAATTTGCCCCAAATTTTAAAACTAGCGTAGTCACTAGCAGTGTTACAAGATAGGACAGGTTAGAACAGTGTATTACAAACAGCAGTGAACAAACGTGAGGTAAGTTAAAAATATATCATATAAATTAAATTAATGAATGAATAAATCATATAGCTTATAAAATGATCAAACAATTGTAAATTCAGTGCAATTTTTTATTTGTGTACTATATATTTATTTTTGTTTGCAGACACAATGCCATCATGCTGTATAAAAAATTGTAAAAGTCGAACATTTTACACGGATACAAAAGGAGTAACATTTTTTAGATTTC